AACTACAGGCACGCACTAGGAGGGTGTTGGATTTTTATCAAAAGCTTTTGTGTGTCTAATTATATAATCATGTGACTTTTGTTTTTACATCTGTTGATGCATTTAATTATGTTTAATGTCTTACAAATGTAAAACCAGCCCTGTATTCTGGGAATGAAGCCTCCTTGATTGTGTTGGATGATTTTTGAGAGGTGTTGTTGGACCCAGTTTGCTAGGATCTTATTGGGAATTTTAGAATCTTTGTTTATCAAGATTACTGGCCTGTAGTTCTCTTTCTTTGTTGGAGCTTTACCTGGCTTGGGTATCAGTGTGATATTAGCTTCATAAAATGATTTAGGGAGGGTTCCATCTTTTTTGATAGCCTGGAATATTTTCAACAGGAATGGTATCAGCTCCTCCCTGTATGCCTCAACTACCAATCCCACCCCCCTCCCCTGGCAGTTTCCCACTACTGCCAATCTATAGCATTTCATATTAACTGTCACCACTCTCCTTAAAGTTAGAGCTCAGTTTTCATGGCACCTTTTCCTGTTCCTTCACCAGTACTACTGCTTCCTAATTGTCTTCCTTTTCTCTCAACAGGACAACTCTCTAAAAGTCAGTGTACCTGCATTAGACGTCTGCTTTAAAATCAACTATAGAACTTACAGAACTTTTCATAAATACATATATTTAGGCTCCATGGGTTTTTCATGTCAGATTCTTAAAGGGTAGTGCACAACCATATGTTTAAAGTTTCACCAGCAATCCCACTGTCAACCAAAGGTGAAGGTTTTCAGAGCACTTCTCATTCAATCTTATGGCTTTAAATTTGTCTTAATATAAATCCCTACATCTATATCTCTAACTAGAATTTTTTCTGAGATATATTCCAATAGCCTGTGGTATATCTTCACTTGGAACAATCATTCTCTTCTCACATCAAGCATTCTTCAAACTAATTCACCACTTTTTCTCCAAAACTGACCCTTTTCCTGTCTGTTATGTTTCTATTACTACTATCCCTATCCACATTATTCAGGCCTAAAACCCAAACTGGAAATTCTTTTTCTCACTGCTAAACTGCTAATTTGAGGACATTTAATTCAAGTTATTTACAGACACATCACTAGGCTGTGAATTCCTTGATAACTTTTGTATGCCCTCCAGTCTCTATAGCACTTAAGAGGACGTCTTGATAAGATCTACATATCTGTAAATACTATTAAGAGAATATGCAAATAAATGAATAAACCATCAAAGAGTGATGACGATTACTCCAAGATGAGTAACTAAAGCAGCATTTTAAAAGGCATATACCCTTTTATTTAGGTAACAGAAACATATGCCAATTTGAAGAAAGAGAAGAAAAACCAAAAAGAAATGAAATGCAAACATCAGACAGAGCTAACAATGAAAACAAAGACACATCTATCTGTGAGAAAGTGGAGAAAGTCTAAAATTAGAATCGGACTTGAAGTGGTCCCTTATGAAGTTGTGAGTGAAACTTCATAGCATCTACATCTCTGGTATCTTTAAGAGAAAAATTTTCCAACATATAAAAAGCTATTGTTTTGTCACTGACAAATTGGGTTGTTTTAAAATTCTTCCCTACCACCTTCTAACTCACTCACCTGAAAATAGATCTCCTCTCACATCCCCTTTACCCAGCCAGGGCTCTTTCCCTTGCTCCAATAAGGAAACCACATCTGGCTTAGAAACAGAAAGACCTGCTTGCAGAAAATGAAATAAATTCAAAATCAGTCCTTGCATCCTACAAAAAAAAGGAGCCATTAAAAGAAATGTCAGGTGTAAGTATGAAAAATGTCTAAAGATTCAGGTGAAGTTACAATCCTCATATTAAAAACTAATTTTAAAAACTCCATGCCTCCCTTGGGTATATTCAGCCAGATCATCAAGATTTATAACAGTCACCCTAAAGGTCAAATTTTTGCCTGAGGGATATAAGGAGGAATACTTACCCAGTGAGACCAAATGACCATAGTTCTCCAACATTACACATCTGTACAAATCTCTTTGAGCAGGCTGAAGCCATTTCCACTCCTCCTGGGAGAAGTCTATGGCCACATCTCTGAATGTCACTGATCCCTGAAATGACAAACAGTTATCTTTACAACTGGTATCTATTCTTCCTTTATTAAGGAATGAAATGTGTTTTGCAGGGGAGAGTAGACAATGTGTATAAGCAATGGCAATAGGAGTTTTCAGAAGTCTGAGTAAGTATTATACAACAAAAAGCCTAACTTTTGTGTTTTGTTGTAGAACTGGAGAATAGGATAAAAAAGCAAATAATGCTTCCTGCGATAATTTAAAGTTGTGTTCAAGATAAAGGATTACACATATGGACAATACGGATTTCTGGCTTTGGTTGTAAAAATTCTTAAGATTTACACTATTCCTTTATGATTAACAATCGTTTCCTTAAGACCACCCTATTTTAATATAATTTGGTCAGAATTTCAAGTTAATAACTGGCTACCAAATAGCAGCATCACTCTTCAAATCGGGCATGCACTCTCAAGTGTGTCAAAGTCATCCCCAATCTTGAAGAAATATCTGTGAAACTTAGTGATTTTCGAAATGTCACAGAACACGGAGGATAAGCAAAAAGTACACAGACCTCCCAAAAAGGGTATGTAATACCTCCCAGGATGCAACCTAAAGATTCTTCCCTCAGAGTTAGGGGGAATAATAAACAAGCCTTTGCTTTGCAGTGTGGTTTGGCACCACTTTAGTAATCCACTTAACCATAATGCATGAATAGGAATTTTAAAAGTCCTAAACTAGTAGCAGACCCAGATGTATGGCACAGTTACATTTCAGTCTTTTTTTGAGTTGGAGGCCAGAGTGCAGTGGCACATTCACGGCCACCGCAGCCTCGACCTGCTGTGCTCAGGCAATCCTTCCACCTCAGTCTTCCAAGTAGCTGGAACTACAGGCATGTACCATCACACCTGGATAATTTTTCTTGACTTATTATAGAGATGAGGTCTCGCCAAGTTGCCCAGTGTTTCGGATTGCTCAAGCAATCCTCTCACTTGGCCTTCACAGTCTTAAAATTTTTTTTTAAAGTGATAAAAGTCTGTTAACTAATATAAGAAGCTGTTGGCTGAGCACGGTGGCTGACGCCTGTAATCCCAATACTTTGGGAGTCCGAGGTGGGAGGACTGCTTGAGCCCAGGAATTTGAGGCCAGCCTAGGCAACATAGTGAGACCTCATCTCTACAAAAAAATGTAAAACTTGGCCGGGCTTGGTGGCTCAGCCTGTAATCCCAGCACTTTGAGAGAGCGAGTGGACTGCCTGAGCCTGCAGGTTTGAGACCAGCCCAGCAAACCTGCAAGACCTTGTCTGTACAATAAATCAAAAATTAGCCCAGCCTGTAGTTCCACCTACTTGGAAGGCTGAGGCGGAAGGATCACTAGAGCCCAACAGGTCATTGCTGAGGTAGCCGTGTTGCACTCCAGCCTGGGCAACAGAGTGAGACTCCAACTCAAAAAAAAAAAATAGCTGACCAGTAGCAAGCACCTGTAGTCCCAGTTACTTGGGTGACTGAGGTGGAAGGATCACCTAAGCCTAGGAGGTCAAGGCTGCAGTGAGTTGTGATTGTACCACTGCACTCCACCCTGGGTGAGAGTGAGACCTCCAACTCAAAAAATACAATAAAGGAAGCTGTTTTCCAGAATAAACAGAGATATCTGCAGCAGAGGTGGAAATTGGACTCCCCTGCAAAACTCAAAGAGCCTTTTGGATTTCGAGACAAGTAGGACAAAGAACTGAAAATGTACTCATTTGGAGTGGTTGACCCTGTTATCTTCACCTCTGTGAAGCACAATTACCAGCCAGGCACTTAGCCTCAATAAAACTTTTAAAAAGCAGCGTCCCTTGCTAAAGGAATTTAATGTATGTCTGAAAAAATAAGTTCCGTGAGTTCAGACAGATGTTACCAGACCCAAGACATAGGATGGGTCACGCATTAGAATCACTCCGAGGGTTGTTAAAATCCAGACTGCTGGGCTACGGCCCCCGAGTTTCTAATTCAGAAAGTCCAGGGTGGGGCTCAATTTTCACTTCTAGTAAGTTCTCAGGTGATGCTGATACTGCTGGTCCAGAGATCACAATGTGAAAACTACTGATAGAGATGCTAAAAGTTGATTTTTCCTGATGCAAAAATATATTGAATAAATGAATGAAGGGCAGCCGGAGTAACATAAAATAAAGCACTCCTCATTCTAACACTGAGAAAGAAAGAAGGCAGCTCTTGTCCTAAAACCTGCCTACAAGATCGAAAGCTCTGCCTTCTTGCGGATAGCTTCCCGTCGGCGGTTTCCTTACGTATAAACACACCCGGAGAGGAGGAACAGGTGACAACTCCTGGGGTTCTGCCCACGAAGGGTTGCGGGAGGAAGAAAGCACACGTCCCCTGGTCCTGAAAAACACGGGGCACTTCGGGAAGAGGAAACGGCTTACCTGAGACATAGCTCACAGAAGCGCCCGTGGGGATCAGGGACGTGTGAAATGGCAGCACTGGCAAGGAGAGAAAGCAGCTGCGAGTCAACGAGTCAGCCGGCGCGTGCCAGAGTCCCGGCGGCCCCGCGCCCCTGCCTCGCCCCCCGCGCGCGCTCGCGCCGCCAGAGCTCCTGGCGCCCGCGAGGCCGGGCCCCGGCAGGCCGCGTCCTCCCCGCCACGCCGTGGCTCTGGGGCCGTGGCCCTGAGACGCCCGCCCGGCACCCTCCCACTCAGCAGCGGCCGAGGGACCGCGCGCTCCCTCGCGGCTTCCGGCCGGATGGCAGAGGCGTCAGGGACCGGCTCCCGGCGCCGACAGGGCGGGCCCTTTACCTGCCTCGGCCCGTCTCTCGGCTCCGCCCCCAAGGACCCGCCGCGGGCGTCGCAGGAACTGCGCTTTCCCCAGCCTCAGGGAGCGAAGCCGACCAGGCCGCGGGCCTCCGGCAACTACCCTTCCCAGAACCCACCGTGAGCAACGCGCGCGAGAGGCTAGGGCCTTCCCCCGCGACTACGACTCCCAGAGGGCCCCGCGGCCACGCCCGCAACGCCGAAAGGCAAAGGACACGGGCCTCGGACAACTGCATTTCCCAGAACCCACCGCGGCCTCCGAGCGCGAGAGGAGAGGGCCTTCTTCCCCAGCTACGACTCCCCGAGTGCCTCGCGGCCACTCCCGCAACGCCCACAGACCAAGGACACAGGCCTCAGACAACTACCCTTCCCAGAACCCACCGGGGCCTAGCCCTGCGCTCAGACTTCCGCCATCAGGCGACTACAATTCCCACAACCGACTGCGGCGTCAGCGCTTCCGGCAACTATAATGACCGAATCCGTGAGCCAGCCCCCGTGTCGTCTCGGGACGGTGGCGTCGGATGACTGCGGTTGCCGCACCGCCCTTGTGGAGCGGCCCAAACTCCACACCCGGTGAGAGCGAGCTTCTCCTTCGGGTGAATCCGGACTCTGGAGCCATCCGATTCAGGGAAGGAGCGCAGCCCCTGGACGGCCCCGGATTTTCGGCTGCCGGAACGCGACCCGCCCGGCAGCCCTCTGGAGAGAGAAGCCGGAACGACTCCACGGTCTGCACCGCCTGCGTGCCCCGAGGGACTCCTTTCCTCCCAGCGTCGTGCGGGGCCTCTCCCGGGCAAGGAGGAGAAGTCTGGGGGAGCACGCGAGACACATTCCTGTCCTCGGACAGTTCCGACTCCGAGTGGGAGGACAGGAGGGGAAAGAGCTCTATATGAATATGAGGGTAGGGAATATTGTTCCAAGTGGAGGGAACAGTTGTGGAACAGAGACAAGAAAGCAAAAAGGTCCATACTAGAAGATGGGGGGGGGGGGAAATTCACTGGCATGGTGAAAAGACCTGAGACTGGGGATGGGGAGGACAGGACCTCGTGGAGAACTTGGATGTTGCTCAGTGAGCTGGAAGACAAGAATTGTCAGCCGGACGCGGTGGCTCACGCCTGTCATCCCAGCACTTGGGCAGGCGGAGGCGAGAGGATGGCCTGACCCCAGGGCATGGAGACCAGCCAGGGCTATTTGCCGAGATCTCGTCTCTACCATAAATCAAAAATTAGCCCGTCGTGGTGGCACGCACCTGTGGTTCCAGCTTCTTGGAAGGCTGAGGCGGAAGGATTGCCGCATTCCATCCTGGGCCACAGAGAGACTCAGACTCAAAAAAAACCAAGAATTGTAAGGAGGGGTGTGACATAATCTTATTTGGCATTCTAGTGCCCTGTGCTAAGGGTGAGTTGAAGGGAAAAGGAACTTAAGCCAAGGAGGTCACTGAAGGCAATAGTTAAGTATTCTAGGGACTGCGAACTGAACTATTGCAGAGGAAATGGAGATTGAGGGGACAGATTTAAGAAACAACTTCTCGGTGGCTCGGCCTGTAATCCCGCGCCTTTGGAAGGCTGAGGTGAGTGGATTGCCTGAGCCTGCGAGTTCGAGACCCGCCTGGGCAACTTGACGAGACCTCATCTCTACAATAAAAAAAAAAATTAGCCGGGCGTGGTAGTGCACGCCTGTCGTTCCAGCTACTTGGAAGGCTGAGGCGGAAAGGATCGCCGGAGCCCAGCGGGTCGAGGCTGCGGTGGCCGGGAGCGGCCACTGCACTCCAGTCTGGGCGACAGAGTGACTCCAACTCAAAAAAAATAAAAAATAAATAAAAAGCAATTTAAAGGATGGATATAAAGAACTGGGTATAAATTGACTATGGTAGATGGAAAGGAAGGAAGAGCAAAGTTTTTAAATTGAGTGATAGGCTTGCAGAAGTGCATTCTTTAAAGCCTCTTATACCACCGTGTCTTACACTCTCATGATTTTACTTTCCTCTTATACTACAGATGACTTGCCCAGATATCTTGGCTAATCATTTTGTTTCATTAAGATGAGGGGACAACCCCTTCGAGTCCCCTCCCACTGTGGGAGGTTTTCTGTTCTCCAATAAATCCTGCTTTATAACAGGAAGATAAACAAGTTTAGAAGGAAAGAAAATGAATTTGTTTGGAAATATGTTGTGGGTGATGTGTGTGTTGTGTGTGTGTATTTTTTTTTTTTTTTTTTTTAGTTGAAGTCTCACTCTGTCACCCAGGCTGGAATGTGGTGGCACACTTACCACCACCACAGCCTTGACCTTCTGAACTCAGGCAATCCTTCTACCTCAGCCCTCCAAGTAGCTGGAGTCACAGGCACGCACCACCAAGCCCAGCTCATTTTTTGATTTATTGTGGAGACAAGGTCTTACCATGTTGCTCAGGCTGGTCTCAAACTCTTGGGCTCAGGCAATCCTCTCGCCTCCATCTCCCAAAGTGCTGGAATTACAGGCGTGAGCCACCGCACCCGGCCGATGTGTATACTTTTAACCTTTGTTAATGTTGACCACATTATCATTTCAAACCTGGAATCTTGCCATGATTTCATTGCAAACATTTCCCCAGATCTTTTCTTCACACAGAAGACAGCCTACTTTTTATAAAACAACTCTAATCATATTCCTCTGCTTTACAGAATTTGATGGCTTTTAATCGCTCTTAAGTAATGGCAAAACTACTTAACATGGTCCACAGACTGCAAACTCTCCTATATTTTCAAGCTTTTCTCACGTTACTTTCCTTCTCTATGACATGCTAACCTTGTTTCCCCAAGTGCCACATACCTCAGGACCTTTGAGCATGCTAATTTGCTCTTCCCCATCACACCATAAGTTCATTAGTTTATTTCAATTCATTCTTCTTATTTCAGCTCAAGTAACTTTTACTCAGAGAAGAATTCTTTGATCCCATTGTAATCTCTCCATAAGACCCCAGTGATTTTATTCTTGACTTACTCTGCATTTATTTTATTTGCAATTATGTTTTTAATTATATACATAGATGTGTGATTATGTTAGTAATTGTCTATATCACTGGACAATAAGCACTTGTGAGTCTAGAGACTGACTGATATTTTTGTTGGTTGTTATACCCATAACTACTATACTACTTGATACAGTGAGAGCTCAATGAATGTTTATTGACCAAATGTTTTATTATCAAATTTTAATTTTTGTCATATGGTGAGGTAAAATGACACTTTGCCTTAATTTACTTTTTATGAGCATAAGAAACTTTGTTTATTGACTGGTTTCTATTTATCTTTTGTGAAATAACTTAATAGCCTTTGCCCATTTTTCTATTAGGATTCCTGTGGTTTTATTTATTTGTAGGAGTTCTTTGTATAGTAGGATTATATGCCTTTCATACATATGTTGCTGATACAGCATGTTCTTACAAGTTATTTCTATTTTCCCTTGTATGTATTGGGATCATATGTGTGTATACACATCTGCAGGTATATGTATTATAATTTTTATGCGGTCAAATCTATCAGTCTTTCTCTTTTAGGCTTTTGAATTTCTCTTGTTTAAAAAGGTTATCTATATCCCACTTTTAAAAATATTTTCAGGCTGGGTGTGATGGCTCAAGCCTGTAATCCCAGCACTTTGGAGGCCAAGGTAAGAGGATTAACTGAGCCCAAGTGTTTGAGACCTGCCTGGGCAACTTGGTGAGACCTCATCTCTACAATATATCAAAAAATTAGCCGGGTATGGTAGCACACGCCTGTAGTCAAGGCTGCCATGGCTGTGAGCATGCCACTGCACTCCAGTCTGGGCAACAGAGTGAGGTTCTGACTCAAAAATATATATATATTTTTTTTCTCTATACTTGTCTAATACTCATTTCCATTATATTTGGGTCTTTCTCTGGATCTTCTATTTTGTCTTATTGATTTATTTGCCTATTCCTCTACCGATATTATACTGTTTTAATTACGATAGATTTCTGGTAGGGTGTGTCCTCTGATTCTTTTCTTTTCTTTTGAGCTGGAGTCTCACTGGCATGCTCTGTTTCTTAAACATACTAAAATAAATCTCAGCCGGGCTCGGTGGCTCAGCCTGTAATCCTGCGCCTTGGGAGGCTGAGGTGAGTGGATTGCCTGAACCCGG